AATCACCATCTTTTCTCTTGAATCCTATTCGTTCACTCTCCTTTTCTCAGTTCTTCTTACTAAAGTCTTCTCATTCTCTTTCACTCCCCATAACCTCCCTGCATCGTAGTGGCATTATCGCCTTCACGAATGATGAAATGATTCAAAAGTAAATCTAAGAAGGGTATCAATTTTTGAAGTTGTGGAATACGCGCTTGCCACAAAACTCAACATACAAAATACAGGAGTTGAACTCGAAAACTAACTCTTGTTATTGATGGAAAATTCATCTCTGAATAAGGTATTTTTTTTTTCAAATTTTCTTAAATTTCATGTCATAAGTTTCTCGCTAGGTTCTTTTCATAGATTCAGTGACTAATCCCAGAACAGTACAAAGGGGGCGGGGTAAAGAAAAATGTGGAAAAAGAGCACATGCTACGATTACTGATGTGTTCACAATTCACTCTAACTTTTAACTAATTGTTATATATATATATATATATATATATATATATATATATATATATATGTGTGTGTGTGTGTGTGTGTGTGTGTGCCTCCTTCCACGTAAAACATAAAATATAAGCATAAAACATAAAACATAAACATAATACTAATTTCAGCCTCCTTCCACGTAAAACATAAAACATAAGCATAAAACATAAAACTTATTTCCTGCTTCCTTCCACATAAAACATAAAATATAATACATAATCTGAAAACATGAAAATGATTTCGGCCTCCTTCCACATAAAACATAAGCATAAAACATAATATTAAAACATAAAACTGATTTCTACCTCCTTTCACATAAATCATAAAGCATAAACTTAAAGGATAAACATAAAATATAAACATGAAACATAAACATAAAACATAAAACTGATTTCAACCTCCTTCGACATAATACCACTGCAAATATTAGCGATATTGTATACTTTTACACTCATCACAACAATAAAATTAAATCCGAAGTAAACATAGTATAAACTTAGTATATTTAGCTCTCAATTCTTATCCAAGGAAGAGAAATACATAGAAAATAACTTTGAAATTTCTCCAATATCCGAATTATTTCCAGTATAATGCCAAACGAAAAGCGTATAAAATCAACAAAAGAAAAATAAAAAAAATCACAAATAGAAACAATCGCAATATCCTTGAGAAAAATAGCCACATTATCCTAGCTACCAACTTCATAACCGCCACATTTGAAAATAACTTATTCAACTATAATCTAGCATTCATGAACACCACTTGTAAAGTAATAAAAGTTATAGTTAACAACGAGCGAGATAGCAACAAGAACAGTGTAGATGCAGAAATGTACAAAATGCATAATGGTGTACATGCGCCAAACATGAAAATCGTTCAAAAAAATTAATATGAGAATCGCAATGACATGCTGTATAACAATAATTTGAACGCATTGGTGGTTCACTGTAATGCATCTGATCACAACTGCGACTAACAAAATGTCAGTTTGATATGAAGAGAAAAGGATTCACTGAGAAGAAAATGCATTGAGAGGATTCTAATCTCACAATTCTTGGAAATAAGTCTAAGAACACTATGACACGTGATAGGATCGATCATCGCAAAAGGAATGTTGTATACGAGCTAATAGAGAAAAAAAAACAGGAGAGAGCTGATTTAAAATCTAAAGCACACCAACGGCTCCAATAATTGTATATATAAATTAATATATATATATATATATATATATATATATATATATATATATATATATATATATGAATTCAAAACATGTGGAGGGTCGTTTGGGAACCTTGTGGCATTGGTGCACCAGGTCTCTGTATTCGTCCCTTTAAAAGTGTGGATGGTCCTGCACGAAACTTCACCAATGTAATCAAATCTCATGTACGGTGTCGGGCTGTCGGTTTCAGGAAACTGATCTGCTTGACCCCATAACGTCGAATCTCGACGGGAGAGTCGACTATATATATATATATATATATATATATATATATATTAAATAATAAAATAATATTAAATAATAATAAATTAAATAATATAAACAAGTGTTGTCTATTTATTTTATGTAAATTTTTTCCTAACGTCTGATAAGTTTTAATAATATTATCGTATATATATATATATATATATATATATATATATATATATATATATATAAGGCACTTTTTTCAGTGTTATATATATATATATATATATATATATATATATATATATATATATAACGATACTGTTATAAACTTATCAGACGTTAGGAAAAGAATTTACATAAAATAAATAGACTATTACACTTTGGGATATATATATATATATATATATATATATATATATATATATATATATATATATATATAACGATAATGTTATTAATCTTATCAGACGTTATGAAAAGAATTTACATAAAAATAAATAGACAACACTTGTCTATATTATTTAATGAATTATTTAATGAAACGTATATATATATATATATATATATATATATATATATATATATATATATATATATATATATATATTAATATGATAAAAGAAGCAGACAAACATTTGCTGGTATCTGATCGTTTGATTTGATAAGGTAATTTAATTCTTCCCCTTTTAAAACCTAAAAAAAGACAAAAATCTAAAACACGTCACGTCAGCCAAACGCGTCGTTTAATACTTTATTATATATGGGAGAGAGTGAGAAACCGCAAACGTTTTTGGTTATAATGTCGATTTGTTTTAGTGTATATATTTATTTTATTCTTAAAACAAATCTAAATTATAACCAAAAACATTTCCGGTTTCTCTGTCTTTTTATCTATAATTTTCTCTCGCTGGAACACTTATAATCTTTTCCCTATATATATATATATATATATATATATATATATATATAAACAGACATCCCAAACCACACAGATTAGCCCTTAGTTGACAATCAACAGCAAACACAGTCAACCTTCAAAAAATTGAGATAAGCCCCCAACCAGAACACCTGGATGGGGGTATAGCATCCCTAATAGGAGATATGATGCAGGCTTTCGAGCTTTTACGAAAGAACTTCGCTACTCTTGCAAATTACAAACATGACACACATGAACGTGTTATAAATTTAAGTAACAATAAATTGTCATTCAACACATTCAGCTTATTAAATCAGGGACTATGGTTTTGCTCTCAACCCCCAAGATTTGATAAGGACACCTTAGCAAAGGACCAGAAATCCTTCTTCAGAAGATTACGGTTAAAAGCCCACAATGATCACACGTCTCCGATACTTGAAACATTAATGAGAAGGACGCTACATTCACCCGCAAAAACACAGACATGACTATACAGACATTTGAAATGGCAGTAGTAAATGACATAAAGAAAACAATAGCACGTAAGCTACCACGCAACAATATTACTGAAAGTGAACCTATAGCCCTTGACACGTTAACACATCGTGATGACCTAATCATAACACAGGCTGAAAAAGGGTGTGCCACAATGAACTGGGGAATCAAAGAATATATTAAAGAGGCCAACAATCCGACAAAGAAACCTAAAAAAAGAAACCTAAAATAGCTTACCTACATATCCTCTTCCCGAATACCAAAAAAAGAATTAACTAGCTCACTGAAAATGATGCTTCGCAACAATGTAATCTGCAAGGAAATATGCACAACACAGATGCTACTAACAACAATAATTTTTTTTCTCCTGATGATGACCATGTTGGCCGAAACTAGTTGATGAATTTAACTGTAATAATAAAAACAAAAGAATATTAATATACACCCCAATCTGAAGATTTTAATTTTTTAATAAATAAAGCAATTCCCACACCTAGAGAAGACACCCTAATGTACAAGTTTAAAAAAAAACCCAGATGCATCCCTCTAGTAACCACTTTCAACCCCATTCAGCCTGCACTATCCCACAAACATCACACCTACGCGATTCTATCTCCTTCCCAAAATACACAAAAGCAACAACCCAGGAAGGCCGGTAATTTCATCATTCAACAGCCACAAGACCAAAATTTCCAAATACGTAGACCATTACATACAGCCCCTAGCGAAGGAAGAAAAACCTACATCAGAGACACAACAGACCCACTAAACAAAATTAATCACATAAAAACAGTGGCATAAAATTCTATTCTCATGACTATGGACGTAAGATCACATTATTCAAACATTAAACACATTGAAGGGTTAATCGCTCGTCATGAAGCACTTACTAAAAGAATAAAACAAAACCCCCACTCTAGAAGTTATCATAAAGCTCATGGAGCATATTCTTACATTAAATAATTTCAACTTCAATAGAGCACAACAGCAGCAAGTAAGAAGCAGTGCCATGGCCACCATTGCAGCTCCATCATATGATACAATATTCATGGGAAAATTTGAGGGGATCTATATCTATCCCCTCATCGGTAGCGACTGCGTATTTTATGCAAGACATATCGATGATATATTCTTTGGATACACGGGCAGTGACAACCATATATATATTACGAATAAAGATAAGAAGTTATCGAAACAGTCTGCCTAAGACTGTACACTGAAAAAAAAGTGCCTATATATATATATATATATATATATATATATATATATATATATATGAAGGAATACAACAACTTAGACGATGAACAGTGAAAAATATATTAAGGAGGAACCCTAGAAAATGACTAATAACCTGGCCAAAAGCATTTTGCAGCTGTAACGACTATGTACAGATTATACTCACTTTTAGTCCTCATCTCACAAAAACAGTAACATCAGTAGAAAAACAGATGAAAAAAAAATATTTCCTTTTTTGTCTCATTAAATGAAATGTATAAATTAAGGATTACTGCCCAAATATATATATATATATATATATATATATATATATATATATATATATATATATATATATATATATATATATATATATATATAATTGTATTTATATACGTGGGCTGTTACATCAATATATATATCAAATTATCTACCTTTCTATTTAACAATTTTCTTTTCTCCATTTCTATCTATCTATTCTGAAAATAGATATTAATTTCATTTTCAAAAAAAATATCTATCTATCTATCTATTCATCTATCTATCTATCTATCTATCTATCTATCTATCTATCTATCTCATTGTCTCAAATGCAAGCTGAATAAAGAAAGCTAAACTCCCTGCAGGTCAGTTCACTCGATACGTTAATTTTGCTTATTATTGACTGAAATGAATTCAAAATGAAATTACCCACTCTAAAATTTATCGCAATTGCTTCAACAAATTTCATCATCGCTACCAACTCGTTCGCACTTTTATTATTATTATCATTATTATTATTATTATTATTATTATTATTATTATTATTATTATTTTCTTATTTTTGAAGTAATTTTATGCCAACCATATTCAACTGAGAGATCATCTTCTTCTTCTTCTTCTTCTTCTTCTTCTTATTATTATTATTATTATTATTATTATTATTATTATCATTGTTATTATTAATATATGTAGTAGTAGTAGTAGAAGTAGTGGTAGTGGTAATAGGAGGAGGAGGAAGAGGAAAAACAATGCAGGAAGAGTACGGGGCATTGGTGGTGATGAAATTCATCGAATTTCTTTTCCTTTTATTTTAAACTTGTATATTTTTATTTTCTTCTTTCTAATTTTGTCATTATTATTATTATTATTATTATTATTATTATTATTATTATTATTATTATTATTATCTTAGCTCAATTTTACACCGGTAATATCTGGGAAAACGCACTCAAAATCAAATAAGAACAAATCACTCACTAGTCGAGCTCATCTCCTGTCTCTTTGAGATTTCCCATGGATAGTATCCCATGATTCTAAGTTAGGAGATCAACTGACAACAAGTGTATTCTTCCTATTATATCTTATTCTACTGACTCTTTTCATTATTTCCATTATTTACATGTAGAGTGTTGTCCAATTTTCGAATGGGTTGTTTTACATACGGATCAAAATTATAGATCATCGATCCCAAGTTTTTCTTTAGTTTTTGTTCGAATACTTGAAGCCTCTCGGTAATTATCAAGAACTAATGCTATCAGTATTATAGACAGGTGGAGAAATCACGGTGGACTAATGGATAGCGGCTTCGGTTGAGGTAATCGGAGAGCCGAGTTCGAATTCGAGTCGAATCAATAATACCCTTATGAATAATAATACCCTCTTCCTCTTCCCGCTATGGGTAAACAGCAGGATAAATTAGGTTCATTAGACTTGGATAGTAACTGGTCTACCTCAGAATGAAATGGCAACCTACTGCGGGAAAAATCTGCCTTGTCTGTCATGTATGGAAAGATACATGATCGCTTAAGTGTGTATCATGCATGGCACATAACTGACTGATCATAACCAAGTGTGTTCTTTATGGGGGGGGGGCGTTTGCCACGTGCTGATATCGTTTGAACCATTACATTTTAATATTGAAATTCACAACATTACGAATGATGGAATCCATTTAATTTCGTAATAATACAAGGGTAATAATAAATAATGTCGAATTAAAGACATCCGGTTAAAAAAATAGTGTGTTTAAATTTTAGATATTAATATGAAGCAAACAGGTAAAGATTCGAAAAATCACAATGAGAAAAGTGTGTCTCTTTGATGGGTAATTTAAACTTTGCTTTATAAGTATGGTCTTCCATAGCCAAACTGATAACAGCAGGGCCTCTGAATAATACCTCTGAACCTCTTCGACCCGGAGTGCTTTTTGAACCTCGGTATCTCAACAAGGTTTGTTTATTTTTTTCTGCCTACATCTGCATACGTTACAAATTAAACTAACAACTGATTATAAAGGGATGAAAAATTTTCGCGAATTTTGTTATCATTCTGGGGTCTTTTTTTCCTTCATCTAAATTCGTGAATTTGTTTTGCTCATATTATGTCTCTAAAAAAAAAGACTATATAAAATTAGCAATTTCTTATTCATAATGTTGAATGTGTTAAAATGATTCAATTTTTTTAACATGAAAAAGTCATGTTGATGTTAAAGATTGCAGCAAAACGTTGGTGATTTATTTTAGATAGGATATATTATGAAATATTTCTAATTTAAATTTAACTACATTGCATTTATTTTCGATATTGGTATTTGAATTGTTAATCTATATTTCATGTGATTCATTATTCTACATAATTAAGATACAATAAAATTGCATTCACTTACGTGTTAATACCCTTGGTATTAATTCTATTTTTTCTCTCTCCAGCTATGGGTAAATAGCAGAACACACTGGGTACTATAGCCTTGGATGGAAACTGGTCTAGGAAAAGGACAACTCTAAATTCAAAACCTGTTTGTATGGCATGTAGTGCACCAGGTGTCTATATTCGGCTCTTCAAAAAAGTGTGGTTGGTTCTGCACAAAGCCTTCACCAATATGATCAAATCATATTTGCTGGTGTCTGGGGCTGTCGGTTCCTTGGAACTGAGCTGCTTGACCCTCATACGTTGAATACGACGCGAGAGTCCACCAAAATGCATATTTCATATGAATACCACCTTATAATAATTGAGATATAGTAGCGTGGGGAGCCGGGTATCATGGATTCGAAGGGTATTGCGTCATATATTGGGAGGGACATGACATGCTTGCACCAACTCTCGGCAACGGAATGACTTTGGCTATAGAAATGGTTTCTATGGTTAAAAAAATAGATTATAGGTTTGATTCCTGTCGACAGAGATAATTTTGCTTTGTAGGACTTCTCGATCTTGACTGGTTGTTATTAATTTTACTATTTAAGAAAATAAACAATGAACTGGGACAACAACTCAAACACATGTAGCTACTAAAAATAACGTTATTTGTTTTAGTTTCCGTATATTCTTGCTTTATAATCGGAAAGTCGAGTTCAAATTCCAGTCGAATCCATTACATTCACTTACGTGCTAATACCCTTGGGAAAGATATGAATCCTCTTCTTATTCCCCCTTCCCCTGCCGCTATTAGTAAATAGGACAACCGGGTTCTATAGCCTTGGATGGAAACTGGTCTATCGCAGAAAGAAATGTCAACATACTGCGGGAAAAAAATCTGCCTCGTCAGTCATGTATCGAAAGATACATGATCAGATCCGTGTGTATCACTTATGACACATAACTAACTGACTCCATACCCACCTCTGATAATAGTTGGGAATCTCCATAAAGAACAGAAACTATACTATACTAAATGTAGTTCTACGTTCATTATTAAAATCTACAACTGAGTCATCGGGTTCCATGTATTCATTTATCGAAACTCATATGATTCTCTTTGCAATATTTAGTTCAAGGCTGTAGGTTGGGTGATGTTCTGTCTTTAGCTAAAAAGTGGGCACAGTGGAGTAATGGATAGCGGCTTGGATTGAGGAATCGGAGAGCCGAGTTCGAATCCATTACATTCACTTACGTGCTAATACTCCATCTTTTCTACCCCCAGTTATGGGGAAATTGCAGGACAGACCGGGTTCTATAGCCTTGCATGGCAATTGGTCTACCGCAGAAAGAAATGGCAACCTTTTGCGGAAAAAAAACTGTGTCGTCAGTCATGTATCAAAAGATATATGATCGCCTAAGGCACATGACTGACTCCATATCCACCTCTGATAATAGTTGAGAATCTCCATAAAGAACAGAAACTATACTACACTAAATGTAGCTCTACATTTATCATTAAAATCTACAACTGATTCATCGGGTTCCATGTATTCATTTATCTAGTATTTTACTCTTTGTGATATTTACTGTCGGGTTGGTGATGTTCTGTCTTTAGCTGACACTCTTAACACTCTTCGTCTTTTCTCTTTGTTTACATTCACAACAACCGTTTCTTCAAATATTTTCTTCGCGACTTCACACACTTTCTTTTTTGCTTAGTGCCCTTATAAATTTTCTAAGATCGTTTATATTGACATTCATATGTTGCCAATATTTTCAATTTCTTTGACGATTCTCCTTTGATCTCTGGTTTAACTTTTTTCCCATTTTTGTTTTCTATTTCGCAATCAACTTTTATTATTTCATCTTCTTTGAAGTATTATCTTTCTCACACACACAACTCATAGCAACTATTATTATATTTGAAATTATATATATATATATATATATATATATATATATATATATATATATATGTTCGTAAAAAACAATACGCTAGAATTAGCAGTTTCTCTCAGCCGAATGTGGGTAGAAATTCCGACTGCCACCAGATCGGTCGTATTTCGATCCTGGCTTTAGGCTTTCGGACATCTAGTCGTAATGTAGAGATGTTATACAGCGAAGCACAACTGTCTGCGAATCACACACACACACACACACACACACACATAACATATAAATATATATATATTATAAATTAATTGATTTAAAATATGGTTTTTCCGCTACACAGTTCTAACCATGTTTCAAAAATTTTTTGAAACATGGTTAGAACTGTGCAGCGGAAAAACCATAATTTAAATCAATTAATTTATAATATTAATGCTCTGTAAATTTACATTGAGCACTATTTTGTAAAAATGAAAATATCTATAAGAACATTGGATTATACATCCCACTGTTCTTTCTTTATATATATATATATATATATATATATATATATATATATATAGATAATATTAGTGGAAAATATTTACGATTCCAATGGAATAAATTATGACCATGGAATATTAGTGTTTAAGCCTTTATTTTATATATATATATATATATATATATATATATATATATATATATATATATATATATATAAACTATCCTCTTATATGGATTTATTCAAACAATACTTAATCAGTATAATACATTCTCATACAACCAAATTAGATATCAACATTTCTAATAATTTTAAATAAAATAGAGATACAAATGAAATTCGGATTGAACAATCAGAGAGCCGAGTTCGACTTCCAGTGTTAATACACTTGGGCATGTTATGATTCCTCTTCCTTTCCCCACCAGCTATAGATAAATAGCAGTACAGGCCGGGTTCTATAGCTTTTGATGGCAACTGGTCTACCGCAGAAAGAAATGGCAACCTTTTGCGGGGAAAAAAATACCCCGTCAGTCATGTATCGAGAGATATATGATCGTCTAAGCGTGCATCGCGTTTGGCACATAACTGACGGATAAGAGAACATCACGGCTGCGTACTCATCACCAAGGCGCTTTTGAAAGCGTTTTGTTCAGGGCATCATTCCTTACTATGTCATGAACTGTTTAGGTCCTGAACCAGTCTACACCCGACAAAGGAAACGTTCGGACTACCCTCATTTATTATTAATATGTGAATTTGAAATAAAGGATTTCCATTATGGACATGGAAGTTTACATGCGAATAATTTTAGACGAATTACCATAGATGTTGAAATTTCTATGTCCGTGCGCCTGAGGCATTTGCGATGTTAATTAAATTAAACGTGTCTACGCTGGGGAAATGCAAATGACGTCCTCATCAATGTCGCTATTCTTATTTCGAGGCATGAGATTACATCGATGAGTCGGCATCTCATGACTTGGGTGAATTTAGCATTGCATTGTATGGAATATAAACTATTTCACAAAAGCACACTTTGCATACGCACAAGTAATTATAATTACATTGTAGGAGTGTAATACGATGTGCTGTGGAAAAAAAAAAAGGTAAATTGAAGCGCTAAATAAATTATTGGAACGAAGAAAACTTAATAAAATTCTATTTGTTTCCTGATCAAGTAGTTCCGAGAGACGCTGGGTCAGTTGACAGAGCAAAAACGGGCTATCTATTCTATCTAAATCTACGCATATCTATGAATCAAATTTTCTTTTTCTATCTATCTATCTATCTATCTATCTATCTATCTATCTATCTATCTATCTCTGGTTTCTTTCTCTCTCTCTCTCTCTCTCTAAATATATATATATATATATATATATACTATATATATATATATATATATATATATATATATATATATATATATATATATATATCAACCTGTTTATATATTCAGCGAGCTAACTTAGTCTGTTACTATCTAAATATGCGCCTATCTATGAATCAAATTTTCATTCATATCTATTCATCTATCTATCTATCTATATCTATCTATCTATCTATCTATCTATCTATCTATTTATCTATTTAATTAACTGGGTAACTAGCTCTGTCTGGAACAACACATCTATCAGCAACAGTTTGTTTCTCTTCTCCTCTATCTCAGTCTCTGCATATTTATCTCAGGATCTATCTATCTATCTATCTATCTATCTGTCTTTCTGGTATATATATATATATATATATATATATATATATATATATATATATATATATATATATATCAGCCTGTTACTGCTTATCTGTTTAGCTAGCTGCAGATATTTATCGATTGATCTATCTATCTATATAGTATCTATCTATCTATCTATCTATCTATCTATCTATCTATCTATCTATCTATCTATTTAATTAACTGGGTAACTAGCTCTGTCTGAACAACACATCTATCAGCAACAGTTTGTTTCTCTTACTCCCTCTATCTCAGTCTCTGCATATTTATCTCAGGATCTATCTATCTATCTATCTATCTGTCTTTCTGGTATATATATATATATATATATATATATATATATATATATATATATATATATATATATATATCATGTATATTATCAGCCTGTTACTGCTTATCTGTTTAGCTAGCTGCAGATATTTATCGATTGATCTATCTATCTATATAGTATCTATCTATCTATCTATCTATCTATCTATCTATCTATCATCTATCTAGCTATCACAGTCTATTCTTACTCATTTCAGTCAATTAATATCACGCCGAGGTATCTATCTATCTATCTATCTATCATTCTATCTATCTATCTATCTAGCTAGCCAGGCTAGCTAGCGAGCTCTGCGTGTTTATATCCGTTTATATGTGCCTGTTCGGTCATGCATAAATTCTTGTGTGTTTCTAGAATAGTAGAAATTACACCAATATATATTTTATGTATGATTGTATGTATGCCAGTGTTAATTTATACGTATATAGACGTGTACATACGTACATAAATTGCATGTACATACTTTTGGTTAAAGTATATATATATATATATATATATATATATATATATATATATATATAGAGAGAGAGAGAGAGAGAGAGAGAATTCCTTTGATATCTGTTGCAAAGCTTTTTTTAGTAATTATAGACATAATTTAACCTCCTCAGACAGAAGACCGAAAGTGAAATTCTACACCTGTCATTATCCCAAGAAGAAACTGATAACGTAATAAAATTCCATCAAAGTTCTTCTCAACGGAGAAGGTCCAAGAGATCATACATATTCGAACAAAACTCACTCTCATTATGTATATATATATATATATATATATATATATATATATATGATAACATATAGTTTTATTATATTTATTATGGGTAAAGGTGCTCAATATCGGAGATAGAGTGTATGTCACCAAACAGTGACACTGTTTCATACTTGAAAGCATTGCATCTGAAGATTAAAGTTAACCTCAGTGTCCACTTGTATATATATATATATATATATATATATATATATATATATATATATATATCAATATGATATATATAATTTTTAACGTTCTAATGAACATTGTCAAATGTTTGAATTTGAAAATATCATATATATATATATATATATATATATGTTAGCAAATATAAATGGATATAAATCCGACAGAATGAAGAAAAATTCATTCATAATTAAAACAACATAATCACATTCTAAGGATTTTTTGTTTGTTTTTCCAGATATTTTCTTCATATATATATATATATATATATATATATATAATACACGAATATATAAAAAGTTTTCGAGTTGAGTGCTCCACACGCTTTTCACACATTTATGAGTACCAAGCGTACAAATATTCACGCACGAATACTCAAATATTTACACACACACACACACACGTAAACACACACACACGAACACACACACACGTAAACACACACACACGCACACACACACACACACACACATATATATATATATATATATATATATATATATATATATATATATATGTATGTATGTATGTAAATATGTAGAAAAATAGGAAAGAACACGTTAGGTAAATAATCCGGGGTTCTTTGGTATTTTTTTTTTATTTTAAAAAATAAAAGTGTTCCATACATAAGTAGATCGATAATTATAATTATTTTTTTCTTAAGAATATGATTCCTTCGCTACATAAGATTTTATGATTCCTTCGCTACATAAGATTTTATGATTCCTAAATTTTGCTTGAGGATCAAACAGGGTTTGATACTTTAATTCAATTTAATTTCAATAATTATATTGAGGTTTTTGGGCTCTTGTTTTGAAATATGAGAACTCTTATCTAGCGAAGGAATCATTTTTTAATATATATATATATATATATATATATATATATATATATATATATATATATATATAAAGCGTTTTGTGTCTGTTGTTTTCATTGACACACAAACCAATGTAAGTTCTTTTCCAGTATTTTGAATAATTTTAAACTTCAGAATTGAGGTTGTATCAGTGTCATCCAATCTACTAAAAGTTTAAGCTTTATTATGCTATTGTTAATGAAATATATATATATATATATATATATATATATATATATATATATATATAATGTATAAGTGCGTAGGTATGCAGAAAATAGAAAAGAACAGGTTGGGTGCATAATCCGGGGTTCTTTAGTATTTTGTTTTTATTTTAAGAAGACAGTGTCCATACAGAAGTAGAGTATTATAATAATATTTTTGTTTAAAATATGATTCTGTCGCTACATAAGAGTTCTCACATTTCAAATGAGAGCCGAAATCTGAAAATAATATTTAAAATTTAGTTGAATTGGCGTTTATCCCGTTCAAGCGAAATAATTCAACTAAATTTTAATAATTATTTGGATGATTTCTGGCCTGTTTTGAAACATGAGAACTTTATGTAGCGACGGAATCATATTTTTAAACAAAAAATATTATTATTATATATATATATATATATATATATATATATATATATATATATATATTCCTTTAAAATATATTTTAATATTTTAATGCAGTTATTCATATGTTACGCGTGTGTTTTAAAATTTCATGCCGCTGGTAATTTTTTTTTTTTTTCCTGTTTTAAGTTATTAAAAATATATTTTTTCCATAAATTGACTAAAAGTTGTGTAATTCGAGATTGTTTCGTTTTTATGCTTAAGTCTTTTAATATAATTCAGTTGTATTTTTCCGGATAAGCTCAGTGGATAAAAAGCGTTGTTTCCATTCAGCAACTTGCCCCAAAATGTTGTGAGTTCAATACGTTATTATCCAATACTATAATTTTTCATTCTGCTTTTAACGGCAATTATAACATAGAGGAAAAATTCCATTATGGATAATTTTTTAACGTTCTAATGAACATTGTCAACTGTTTGCATTTAAAAGCATAATGAAAAATGTTGGTAATCGATAGCAACAGAGATTTGTATAAATACTTGTACTAATGAACAATATATAGTTTTGTACTACTTACACCCGTGCAGATAATCTTGAAAGAAGATAGAATGTAATTTGGAAATCATAATAAAAGAAATTTCAACACTCATAGCATATTTATCTCCTCGTTTTTTATCAATAAAAGGAAGGTTATTCGTGAGTATTAACAGATTTTTTTTTAAATTAGCAGACATGATATCTATAATGTATTCAATCAATTGAGTGCTGGTTTTAATAAAATAGTACTCGATGCAAAATAACAGAGCTGTTAATTATATATTAATAATAAATATCCATTTTTTTTCACCCGTAGCACGACTCTTAGTTTCTTGTAAAACGCAATCTTCAGTTTTAACCTAATACATGTATATTGCCTTTTGTATGAAATCCAGTTTTGTGCTACTGGCGAGGAAAAATATATAGTTATTATTATCATATATATATATATATATATATATATATATATATATATAGCGCAGTTTTTTTTTCGGAGACAGTTTATTTTCTTTAATCCATCTTGCATCATACAG